ATTGGTTTGGAAACTCAGGCTTTCTAGTTGGATCGGCAGTAATTTAACTTCAGCACTGGTATTAAACTCACATTGGACACCTTTGAAACTTCTTGATTTTAAAGTGGTCCCTTTGGGAATAATATGAACATCTGTCAATTGTTTTTGCTTGTTTAAGTCTTCAAAACTCACAACTGAACACGCCGGAAAATGGCGTAAATATTGAGGAAACATCACCTCAAATAAAGAACGTGTAAAGATGTCGTAACTATCAGCTAACTTTTTATCAATACGTGCGGCAATTAAAGAAAATGCCTGTATCAGACGTTCAATATGTGGATCATCAATTTGTTCTTGATTTAAAGATAATCGTTGTGCAATTTTTGGGTATTTATCTGCAAAGGCACGCGACTGCTGTCCAAATTCTTGTAATTGCTTTTCATAATACGGTAAAAGTTCTTCTATCACGACATACCTACTTTATTTTAAGATCTGGCAGAAATCACATATTGCTGTGTTGTTGGCTTAAGTAAGGCATCAAAAATTACAGGTTCATAAAGTGGGTGGATATTTAAATAAGCTTGAATGCTTAGGCATAACGAACCAACATTTTGGTCATCTAACTGCATTTCTACTTTAATTTGTTTTAAGCGTGGTTCATGTGCAGCAATCGATTGTTCTATAGACTGGCAGATGGTATCTCGATCGGTTGGATTCGCTGTTGAAAGCCCAACAAAATCAATAATGCCAAATTGTACAATAGACTTTTTCACTAAAGGAAAATCATCGATTTCCAGATCTAGCTTGGCAATTCGTGTATTTAATAAATCTTCTAAATCATGAGCAACAGACTCTCTTAACTCATGAATCGAAAGCCCTTTAATATAATCATCTTCAACAATTAAACGATCAAATAGTGTAGATCGAAATCCATATGGGTATAGTTGATCTAAATTCATAATGTATATTCTAATAATATGAAACAGACAGGGACCCGAGTCCCTATCTGTTCCAACAAACAATTAAGCAGCGTAAGATGCTGTATTGTTAGAAAGAGACCATTTCTTAGTAACGGCACCTTTAGCAGAACCGTTAATATCTTGTTGATTATAAGTCCACTCAACCGCAGCATATTTAAGACCAAATGCTTCAGTTGGAACACCTTCTTCATTTACCGTAGGCGTTACACTTGAAACAAGTACATGCTTAAGTTTGATTTGAAGGTACTTAATACGTTTGTCACCATTTGCACGGTAGAAGTCAATTTGAACTTCATCAAATGTATAACCCGCAGAACAAGCTTCCCAAAGTTTTGGACTAGTTGCATCCAAATCTTTAACAAAAAGCATATCTGAGTGTTCTACACGTTCAGCAGTATGACCACCAACGCTTGAAGAAGTCGCAGATTTCGGCTGACGAATATTATGAGACCAAGAATTAACTTCTAGCCAATTTTTGTGCTCAGAATCACGTGACTCGCCATCAACCTTGTACTTACCTTGGAATTGAACGTATATATCTTTCATTGGATTACCCTTATTTTTTAAAGTTATTATTTAGCCACGCTCTATTTTAATTCGAGGACTGAGGTAACTCAGTGACAAGTCGCAAAGAAACCGACAACTCATCTAGCTGGAAATGCGGTCTTAAGAAGACCACAGACTTGTAGTGCCCTGGCTCTGCAGGATTCTCTACAACTTTTACAGAAGCTTCACGCAATGGATACTGCGCTTTAGCTTCTTGTGAAGCACCATCATCAAGCAATACGTATTGTGATAGCCATTCATTTAAAAATGCTTCTACATTACCCGCTGAAGCAAAGCTTCCGACTTTATCTCGCATCATCGCTTTTAAATAATGTGCAATTCGAGAAACTGCCATGATGTATTGGATCTGACTAGATAATGATGAGTTCGCATTTGCGGTATCACTGTCATACTTCTTCGGTTTTTGCGTAGACTGTGCACCAAAAAATGCTGCGTAATCTGTATTTTTACAATGAACAAGTGGAATAAAACCTAAGTCACTCAACTCTTTCTCACGACGGTCAGTGATCGCAATTTCAGTTGGGCACTTAAATACAACTTCACCATCATTGGTTTTGAAAGTATGTACTGGTAAACCTTCGACCATACCACCACCTTCAACACCGCGAATCGCAGCACACCAACCATGGAGGTCAAATGCATTGGTCAAACGAGTACCAAACGCATAAGCTGCATTCATCCACAAATATTCATCATGGTTTTGCCCTGAAACTTCTTCCACAAAGTTAAAGCCTTCAGTCGCCCAACCTTCTTTTGGATCATAAGGCAAACGGCCTAAAACGCGTGGCATTGTCAACGCAACATAACGAGCGTCATCGCTTTCACGGAAAGAACGCCACTGTACATATTCTGCTGTTTCAAATACTTTTGAAACGTCACGAGGACGATCAATATCTGTAAATGATTCAAGGCCTAACATATTACTGCTTGCTGCCGAAATAAACGGAGCATGTGCCGCTGCTGCAACATGTGAAATCTGTTCTAACAGATACATGTCTGAAGGAGTACGGTCAAACTCAAAGTCACCGATCAATGTTGCATAAGGTGCACCACCGAATGAACCGTATTCTTCTTCATAAACTTTTTTAAACAAAGTACTTTGATCGAAATCTGTCGCACCTTGGAAATCTTTGACCAATTCTTTTTTCGTTGTGTTTAACATACGAATTTTGATCAATGGATTTGAAGGTGACTCCTGACAGAAGTAATACAAACCACGCCAAGTCGATTCAATTTTCTGAAACTGCTCATTGTGCATGATTTTACTGAGCTGCTTTGAAATCAACGCATCTATTTCAGCAATACGCTTATCAATCGATAAAGACATATTTTCTGAAACAGTGATTGTTCCTGCCATCACTTCTTTGGCTAATTCACCAATCAAGCTTTTCGCACGGTCATGCTCTTCGTCATTACGTGCAATTCGGCTACGCTCCACGATAGAATCAAGTAAACTTACTTCTTCTACGGCTGCATCTTGCACAGTATTGGTTTGTAAATTACTCATTTTCAGGACCCGCCTCAGCGCTTAATTTACGAATCTGATCAGTATTTTGTAAGACTTCATCAAGTAAATCTTCCAAACGCTCACTATTTGAAATCTTATTTCTCAAATCCGTTAAGCGTTCACGAGCTTCAACTAATTTTCTCAATGGTTCTACTTGTTGTACCACTTGTTCTGGTCTGAAATCTTCCATCGATTTAAAGGTTAAGTCGACCGACATACGCCCACCCTCTTCAGTCAGCGTATTTTCAACTTGATATGCGGCACGTGGAGACAACGACTCCATCACTTCATCAATGTTTTCTAAGTCGACATTAATAAATTTTTTATCTTTTAATTTAGTTTTTTCTAACTCAGAAGCAGCAGAAAAGTCACCTAAAACACCTACAACAAAAGGTAACTCTTTTATTTCTTTACCATCACCGACTTCAACATCATAAGTCAGTTGAACACGTGGTGGTCGGATTCGCTGTAATTTCTTCTGTACACTTTCACGTTTTGACATTTTTGTTATCCATTAATTTGGGCAATAAATTATGTTGGGAAGTTCGGTCTTGGTGCTGATGACGTAGACTTCGGTTTCGCTGGCGTCGCAGTAGGCTTTGTAGCTGGTTTTGCAGCAGGCGTTGAGCGTGTTGGTGTAGCACGGTTCTTCTGAGGGCGACTTACCTTCTGAGGACGAGCACGCTCTACAACTGGGGCACTTTCCTGATTTTTTTCAACCAAAACTGCTGCTGGCATTGCTTGTCTAACTGCGTCAGTAAAACTTTTCGCAACAGGATAGGTTTTATCCTCAGTCAAATATCTCATTTCACGTGTGCGCATTTTATTCAATGCGTCAGAAGCTAAGCCAATTCCTGCAAGGAATTTGACATCCGTTAATTCATTGCTTTGGATGTTTTGCGTTTCTAAATAATTGACAATTTGGATGGCTTTATCATTTTTTCCAATTTGCTGAAACTTCTCTGCCGCTGAGACCAACAGTTTGTTTTTATTGTCTTTATTTTTCTTATCACACAATTGTGAATAGACCGCCAACAACTCAGGATTGGTTTCTCCCTCGACCATTGGGTAATCTTTTATACAGGATCTTTTTAGTTTGATTTCATCATCCGCGTAGACAAATGTAGTCGCCAATGATGCGCCAAGAACTAAAATATATGGAATAAAATTCTTCAAAATCCAACCTCAATATTTACTTGATTCAGTTATTCAATAGATTTACTTTTGATGTTTTATAAATATGTATAATTAAGCAATTTCGTTAAAGACTTAAAAATAAGACTAAAAAAACGTACCCTCGTCAAGTTAAATTTCGTATCAATATTTTAACCGTTTGATAAAAATGACTTTTTTAATTGGTTGCATAATATACATAATATCCTGTCTTCACAAAAGTTTTTTTTTATGTAAAATATTTCCAGTGATTTTTAAAAAATTATTAAAAATTTGATTTCAATATACTAATTTTAATGCCAAATTTATAGGCTAGAAAATTTAGAATTTATTTGCCTAGAAATAAAGTTTTTTGAGAGAGACAGAAAATGACAGATCTAAAAGTTTTGATTAAAAAGTTATCAGCATCTTCACGTACATCTTTAGAACAATCCGCCAACTTATGTGTAAACCATCAAAATTTTGAAATCGAAATCGAACATTTTTTTGTCAAATTATTAGAACAACAATCCAATGATCTTGAACTTCTACTTAATAAATACAAAATTTCAAAAGATGCACTTTTAACGGATTTATTAGAGTGTATTTCTCAACTTCCTAAAGGAAATACCCGTACACCTATTTTTTCCAAATCAATTGTTAGACTTCTTGAACAAGCTTGGTTACTTGCTTCGGCTGAACCAGACCCAGTGATCCGAAGCGGTCATTTATTGATTGCACTTTTAACAGCATCTGATCTTTACCAAATTGCTATTCGAGCATCGAGCTTATTTGATCTGTTTCCAATCGATACGATGAAGCATAAATTTTTAGAAATTTGTGTAAACAGCGCCGAAAATATTCCAACAAATTCTCAAGAACAAGAAGCTGAACTTAAGAATCAGCCAACAGACAATTCCGCTTCGAGCAAAAAGACACCTGCATTAGATCAGTTCACCATTAATTTGACTGAAAAAGCCCAAAAAGGTGGGATTGATCCAGTCATTGGTCGTGAATATGAAATCCGTTTAATGCTTGATATCTTGATGCGTCGTCGTCAAAACAACCCTATTTTAACGGGTGAACCTGGTGTGGGAAAAACGGCTGTTGTAGAAGGTCTGGCATTAAAAATTTCACAGAACCAAGTGCCCGATGCGTTAAAAAATGTCCAATTACACTCTTTGGATATGGGCCTGTTACAAGCGGGTGCAAGTGTTAAAGGTGAGTTTGAAAACCGCTTAAAACAAGTGATTCAAGAAGTACAACAGTCTTCTCATCCAATTATTTTGTTTATTGATGAAGCTCACACCATGATTGGTGCGGGCGGCCAAGCTGGGCAAAATGATGCTGCGAACTTATTAAAACCTGCACTTGCGCGCGGTGAATTACGCACAATTGCAGCAACAACTTGGGCTGAATACAAACAATATTTTGAAAAAGATGCTGCTTTAAGTCGTCGTTTCCAAGTGGTCAAAGTAGAAGAACCGACTGAAGAAGTCGCGATCGATATGCTACGTGCCATGATTCCAGTGATGGCCAATCACTTTAATTTACGCATTGATGATGAAGCGATTATCACCGCTGTTCATTCTTCACATCGTTATATTAGTGGCCGCCAACTCCCAGATAAAGCCATTAGTGTGCTTGACACCGCTGCGGCTCGTGTTGCGCTAACCCAAAATGCTCAACCGGTCAAACTCGATCAACTTAAAGCACAACAACATAATTTAAATCTTGAATTCAATATTATTGAAAATGAACACCGTCACCAGCCAATTCATGAAGAACGTTTAACTCAATTAACATCATCATTGGAATTGCTTGATCAAGAAATTCAGCAAACAGAACAACAATGGCAAGCTGAATTGGCACTGATTCAAAAAATCCAAGCATTAGAAACTGCTGAACAGGCTGATTCCAACAAAGATGAGATGCTCAGTACACGTACGCAGCTATCTGAGCTACAAGGTCAGCAACCACTGGTCTTTGAACGTGTAAATGCCCAAATTATTAATGAAATTATTTCAGACTGGACGGGTATTCCTGTTGGCAAAATGGTCAATGATGAAATTAAGCAAATTCTCAGTCTGGAAGAAAAACTTGAAAAACGTGTGATGGGACAAGATTATGCCCTACATCAGTTGGTTCAAGGTATTAAAACATCAAAAGCACGTTTAGAAGATCCAAATAAACCACAGGGTGTTTTCATGCTTGTCGGGCCAAGTGGTGTAGGTAAAACAGAAACTGCCTTAGCACTTGCCAATGAACTTTATGGTGGTGAGTCACATTTAATCACCATCAATATGTCTGAATACCAAGAGGCGCATACGGTTTCTTCGCTTAAAGGTGCGCCTCCAGGATATGTCGGGTATGGTCAAGGCGGTGTTTTGACTGAAGCCGTTCGACGTAATCCGTATAGTGTTGTGTTATTAGACGAGATTGAAAAAGCACACAGCGATGTTCAAGAACTGTTCTATCAAGTTTTTGACAAGGGCACACTCGAAGATGGTGAAGGTCGTGTGATTGATTTTAAAAACACCACGATATTACTGACGTCAAACACGGGCTCAAATGCCATCATGCAGGCATGCTTAAATCAACCTGTCGAAGAATGGCCAAGTGCTGAAGAGCTGACTGAACAACTCAAACCAAGCTTATACAAACAATTTAAGCCAGCATTCTTAGGCCGTATGCGAATTGTCCCTTACTTCCCATTACATGATGATCTATTAGTCAGAATTATTGAGCATAAACTAGGAAAAATTACAGCACGACTCGAAAAGCAGTATGAAACCAAAGTGACATATAGCGAAGATTTAATCGAATTAATTCTAAGTCGTTGTACTGAAGTTGATAGTGGCGCACGTAATGTTGATAACATTTTAAATGCCTCAGTGTTACCTGCTTTGGCCACTGAAATATTGGTGGCTTTGGCTGAACAAAAAATACCAAAAGTCATTCATATTGATACTAAAGATGATGAAATCATTTACCTATTAGATCCACAAGCGAAGCCAGCAAAGAAAAAGTCGAGCAAAAAATCAAAAGTTGTGGAAGCTTAAATATATACGAGTATAGAAAATGGATATAAATTTAGACGTCTTATTAGAACCTATTTCTGATGCTCATCCGTGTGGAGAAGATTTATCTTTTTCCAATGAGTTTCACGAAATCAAAAAAGCACGTACCCATGATGATCCTTTATTAGACCAAGGTGATTGGATTTCTGAGCCAAAGCAAGCCGACTGGTCATTTGTTGCAGAAAAATCAATCCAATTACTCACGCAAAAAACCAAAGATATTCGTTTATTAACCTGGCTTACAGAAGCTTGGACAAACCTCTATGGCTTTGAAGGCTTAATCAAAGGACTGGAACTGAGTCACCGTGTTTTAGAACAGTTCTGGTTAAAGATTCATCCTGAAATTGAAGATGACGACTTAGATCAACGCTTAGGCTTACTGCAAGGTTTTACCACCCAATTACCGAGCTTGGTAAAGAATGTTCCGCTCATCAACATTCAACCATTTTATTCACTTGCCCAATACGAAAAATTCTTACATTTACAGAATAATCGTCGTAAGCAAGCCGAAGATTCTGACAGTGTAGAAGCGTCCTTAGAATTAGATCAATTCAATCAAGCGCTATTCAATACCTCACGGACTTTTCAGTATCAAAATTATCAGCAATTTCAAGAAATTTTGCAGCATTGGAATATTATCAAACAAACATTAGATGCATTAATGGAGCTGGAAGCACCAAGTTTTGCGAGTATCGATTCACAGTTTGAAAATATTCAAATGAACCTGAAAAAAATCTATAAAGCAGACTCATTTGGAAACAACACCAATACAGCTGCAGTTGAAGATACCCCAGCTCAAATGACAATGCCAGTAACAGAAACAACGCATTCAGCTCCAATTCCACAAGCGCAAACATTTCAACCTCAACCACAAAGCCATTTACAAAACCGTGAACAGGCAATGCGGGTTTTACAAGAGATTGCCGATTACTTTCAAACCAATGAGCCGCATAGTCCTGTGAGTTATATGCTGCAAAAAACAATTAAATGGAGCCAAATGCCTTTACATGAATGGTTAACTCAAGTCATTAAAAATGATAATCCCCTTGATTCTATTCAAGAATTATTGGGCGTAAACCAAAATAATGAATCTTCTGAATGGTAATCATCTATGTTTAAAGCAGAAAAAGTTCTTTGGGGTGAAGGTTTATTTTTAAGACCACAACACTTCCAATTACAAGATACGTATCAAGAACAACGACTTAACCACACCATTCGTTCAACGATTCCTTATCCTTATGGAATTAAAAATCTTCGATTTGACGAAACACAACTGGGCACAAATGTGCTTGCTTTAGAGCAAATCGATATGATTTGGCAGGATGGTGAAATTTACCAAGCGCCGGCCAAAGATCTGTTACCACAACCAATTTTATTGGATGAACTGAACTTGCGTGGGGAAATGTTAATCTACTTAGCATTGCCTATTTTACAACCGAATAAAAAGAACATCTCTGATGAACAGGATAAACAACCTGCTCGCTACCATTCATATTTGAATGAAACTCACGATCTTTTTACTGATGCATCCCCTGCTGAAATTACATTTCTTCGACGCCGAACTGAATTTAAACTTTTTGATGTTCAAGCAGATCCAAATCAAGATTTAGATGGTTTTTTATATCTTGCTATCGGAAAAATTCGACGTCATAGTTCAGGGAATTTTGAGATTGATTCAAAATATATTCCACCAATTTTACATATTCAGTCAAATGAAACCTTATTGGCAAATTTGAAGCGAACATTGAACGTTGTTCGTGCCAAAATTAAAATGATTCAAACCAATAATCGTGAAAATGAACAAAAGCTCATTGAATTTAGATCGGGTGATATTGTTTCATTCTGGTTGGTCAATGCACTAAATACTGCTCATGCGACCTTGAATCATCTGTTACAAAATCCGCAGATTCACCCTGAAAAACTATTTTTTGAACTTCTGCGTTTAACGGGTTCATTGCTGACATTCTCTACCGCATATGAAGTTGAACATTTGCCACAATATCAACATCATAACTTGCAAGATAGCTTTAGTCAGCTTGATAAAATTTTACGCGAATTGCTCGATACGATTATTTCAAGTCGTTATATCAGTATTGCGCTAAAAGAAATTCGCCCATCTTATTGGGTCGGAAGCTTAGAAACAGATAAAATCACCAAAGAATCAAGACTTTATATCGCTGTTTCTAGTAGCATGATGCAAACCCATGAACTGATTCAAATTGTCCCACTGCGTTTCAAAGTCGGGAATACTGTCGATGTTGAACAACGTGTTGTTGCGGCACTTCCTGCAATCCCAATTCATCATTTAGTCCAAATTCCAACTGCTATCCCAGTACGTTCTGGTGTGAATTATTTTGAAATTGAACCACATCATGAAATGTATCAACGTATGCTTGATTCTGAGACCATCTGTATTTATGTCCCTGCAGGTTTCCAAGATATCAGTATTGAATTAATTGCAGTGATGAATGGTTAAGCGAGGAGTATGTCATGAGCCAGAATAATATTGCCCCCTCACTGTTTGATGATGGACAAATCGGTGGAGGTTCTTTACCGCAACAATCCAAAATCACACAAGCAACCAATTTAGTCGACCTTCTACATGACGGATTTTATATTGTTTTCTTGTTGAAAAATCAGTATGTGCCAGAAAATGCAAACGGCTTTAAAGACAAAATTTTAGACTTGTTGAATCGTTTTGAACATCAAGCAAAAAAACTGCAGTTTTCTCCTGAAGATATTCATGATGCAAAATATGCATATTGTGCCTTAATTGATGAAACCATTGTTACTCAACAAGATCCATCATTCTTTAACCTACAAAATCATTGGTTAATCAGTCCACTTCAATTAACTTTATTTGGTTCACAACTTGCAGGTTATCGATTCTTTGAGTTTCTCGAACTGATTCGCGCTCGTGGTAAAGAAAGATTGGCTTCACTCGAAGTTTTTCATTATTGCTTATTGCTTGGTTTCCAAGGTAAGTATCGTATTGAATCGATTGAAAGTTTAAATCATCTTGTGGCACGAGTCGGTGATGAAATCGATTATTTGAAAGGCAAAAAGACTGCTTTTTCTCCTTTTGCGGCTTTACCAGATCAAATCAAAAATATTATTCATAAAGAATTACCCTTTGTTTGGATTTTAATTTTCCTGTTGTTATTTGCTGTACTGGCTTTCGCTGGCCTAAAATTCATGTTGAATAAGACGGAAAATGCTTCTATTGCGAAATTTAATAATGTGATTTCTGCACCTGCTGAACAAGCACATATCACTATTCAATTGCCTTGACAGGTTGAATTATGACACAAGAAAAACAAACATCTATTCGTATATTACAAAGTAAACCCGCTAAAAAAACATTGGGGAAATCATCTGTTTTTCTACTTGGTTTAATTGCTGGGATGGTTATTTCTGCTATTTTCTTTTTTGTTTTTATCAATGTCAACCCAACAGAAAATACCAGTACCAATACGGATTCGGTTGCAACACAAGAACCTGAACTACGCGATGTGCATGCTGAAGAAGCAGCAACCAATCATCACGATGAAAATGCTGGTGCATATAAGCAGCATATCAATGAAAAAGATTTCAATCAGATTTTTAAACATGAAAATAAGGTTGCTGCTCAGAAAAACCCAAATCCGAATGCCTCTCCGTTTGAACAAATGCTAAAACCAGAGGCGAAACCAGCAGTGCCACCGCCAGCTGCAACCAGACCACAAGCTGCAATAACCGCAAAACCAGTACCAAAAGAGAAAGTAGAAGCAAAGCCAGAAGCTGCTGCTAAACCTACTGAAAAAGAAGCCGCACCTAAAAAAGAGGAAGCGCAAGAAGCTTCCCCTGAAGGTACAGTGAAAATGACGATAGACCGTAAAGTCATAGAAAACAAACCATGATTTTGTTTGTTGTCATTTGCTTTATCTTTTTGGTGCTTGGTCTAACTTTTCTGATGTCTTATGAAATTAGACATAAAACCTTAGACTACCTTAAAGCACTTTTACCGCAAGGTAAGAGAAAGTTGGCTTCTGCAAAGCACTTTGCAGAACAAATGAATCAAGCAGCCTCAGCCAATCAGACCCAAACCCATTGGCATTTACAGCAATGGTGGATTTTGATTGCTGGTTTCTTTTTACTTTCCAGCATTCTTGTTTTTGCATTTACACGACCAATTGATCCGACAAAGGTTGAAGCAGAATATTTAAGAAAAACTGACCCACAAATTTATGCACTATTAAATGGTGAAGTTTTAACCCCTCCTCCTGCAGTGGATGAAAGCTTAATTGATGCTGCGATTGTTCAAGCACAAATATTGGAAAGAGACAACCCTGTTCCAAATCATCAATTCCCGAGTGTAAATCCATCAGCTATTGATAATGAAGGGGTTGGAGATCAACGTAGCAGCTTCGATACAGCAATGGTTGACCGTAAATGGGACAAAATGCATCCAAGTTATAAGCAGCGTTTACTGATGGTCTTTAAAATCATGAAAGAACGTCATGGTTATGAAATGGTGCTTTTAGAAGGTTATCGTAGTCCAGAGCGTCAAACTCGTTTATCTGGCAATACAGCCACGACTTTAGCCAAAGCCTATCAAAGTTATCATCAGTTTGGTTTAGCAGCCGATGTTGCCTTTAAACGAGATGGTAAAGTTGTTATTTCTGAACGAGATCCTTGGGCATGGAAAGGTTATCAATTATATGGGGTTGTTGCTGAATCTGTAGGTTTAACATGGGGTGGACGTTGGACACGCATTCATGACTATGGTCATACTGAGTTCCGCATGCCAGGACTGCGTAAAAACCGTGAATCTGCTGAACGTTTGATTGCTGAAGCACAAGGCAAAGGGCTTATGGCAAATAATATTGATGTAAATTAATTGCCATGTTGTCTTTGTAGGAAAATGCTTACAGTAATCACAGCGATTGTCATCTATACGATCAAAGCCTAGTCTTATATTCTATAGTTATAGGGAACAGGAAGTTTCCCAGACATAAAACAACAATAAAGCGTCTGAGCATCAGGAACGTGAGATTCGACAGGAGTCAGATCTAACACACCAATACGAAGAAAACCCCATCAGGATGATGGGGTTTTCTTTTTATATCTATAGAATATCTGATTCACATCACATTGTTTGATAATCTATAAACCATTTAAATACGCAATAATCTGTTGATTTTCAGCCATTTCTGCAAGCTCTAATGCGGTAAATTGGCTTTTATAGTCTTTGTTTGCGCCTTTAGAAATCAGTAATTTAACGATATCTAAATGATCATTTTCCGCCGCAGCTTGTAGCGCACTATAGCCTTCATCATCAGTTTGATTAACGTCAATACCTTGTGATAACAGTTGTTCGACCTGTTCAAACTCTCCTAAAGATGCAGCATACACCAGTTCAGGAAGATGTAATTCTTCATCATGATCAGGAAGCGGTGAGAAAGAGTTAAGTTTCATAAGAAATACCCAATTTTTGTTCAATTATTATTTAGCTAAAAATTTTAAAGGTCAACAGTTCATTATTCAATGAAGTCATTGACCAATTAACTTAATATAAATAGATCTCTTTTCATTTCGCTATAAACACCGCACATAAAAAAACACCCCAATCTCGTTAAAGATCGGGGTGTTTTAGATTTAAAAGCTGGCGATGACTTACTCTCACATGGGTAACCCCACACTACCATCAGCGCTAAGAGGTTTCACTTCTGAGTTCGGGAAGGGATCAGGTGGTTCACTCTTGCT